TAAATTATACTATTAATCTCAATTTTTCTTCCTCGTATTATTACTCACAATTTATTGTATTTGTATAACTTTTCTTTACCATTTTTACAATAAAAATATTGTGTTATTTGAATTCTCTGTACTAAAGGTTATTTCCAAACTACTCCCCCTTATCATTTTTAATTGTCTCACTCCATCAATTTTATATAAATTAAATTGATAATTTTATATAGTAAATGAATGACAATTAAAAAAATTTAATATAAGTGAAAATACTTAACAAAAACTATTATGAAAAATTTAATTATCATTTATTTACTATGTAAAATTATATGATTAAATTTTATAGAAAAGTTAAATTAAAACCAATTCAATATAATTGACAAAATAATAATTCATATTTTGCTATATGGTATGCTATGAGCTGAATAATAATGAATCCTATTAACAGAAACATTAGCCACTAATATCAAAACTTTATACTAAGGCCAAACACCCATCAACAACTTATTAATCCAAAAAAATAAAAAAGTTTAGTTTTAATCTAAATAAGATTTTTGAATTTAAACCTCGTAAATAAAAAAATAAATAAAATTCTTTTTATGGGAGGTTCAAGCATCATTTTATAAAATGTAATTCCACACTTAAAAAAATAACATTTGGAAAAAAAAAAAAGGAAAACCAAACACCTAATCATTTTTAAAAGAGCAGTGCTACGGACACTCGCTTTTTGCACTCTCCGGCGAACACTTCCCCTTCCATTGGGCCACGTAAGCTTCTTTAAGGTTTTCGGGGGCACCTTTTGGCAACCAAAATAACGTGGCCCAATAAAAGAGAAAGTGTTGGCCGGAGAGTGCAGGAGGCGAGTGCCCCTAGCATTGCTCTTTTTAAAAACATTTAAAAATATAGTATTATGAATGCAATGCCTGTCATATCCACGACACAAAATTGAACGGGACAGGCCTCCCCTCGCTTGCTTTGGACAGGTCTTTACCGTTTGACATTTGTCAAGGAGCTACGAGTGTAATTTACATAAACCCCCAATTTCCCCTGCACAAAAACCGCTTATTTATTCCGTCATTATGACATTTTTAAGGACAATAACGTAATTTAGTTCCCACACATAAAAATTACGCCCAAAATTCAACAAACCGCCTCACACTCACCAGAGCCAATAATCCCCTCTGTCTCTGCTTTCTCTTTCCAGCAAAACAGAAACAAGCCAAGATCTGCGAAAATCTCCAATCCAATTTGCTGAAAAGGAAAAACCTAATTTGGCAATCTCCATCAGCGTCTCTCGATCTGAACTCGAATCGGGAGCTAAAGCGATGGGCGATTTCAACCTCGCTCTGGTGATCGTCGCGATAGTGGTGTGTGTCCTGGTTTTCATCTTCAATGTCTACCTTCTCGTCAATTACCAGCACCCGGACGACGCCAACCAGGCGTATTTCCCTAAATTCGTCGTCGTTTTAGGCCTCTCCGTCGCCTTGATTTCCATTCTCATGTTGCCCGCTGACGTCGCCAACCGGCAGGCCTGCAAGCATTCCATATATAATGGCGCCTGTAATCTCACCTTGCCGATGAAGGATCTGTGGATTGCTGTTTACATTGCCGATGCCCTGCTCGTTTTCTTCGTTATCCCGTTTGCCATGTTCTACTACGAAGGAGACCAGGACAAGTACGTTTTCCTAGGGTCTTGATTTTACAGACATTTTTGCATTTTTGATATATAATGATACATGCATTTTGTTGATTCATTTCTATGTTGATTATGAAAAAGAAATTGTAATTTTTTTGTAAAAAAAAATCCTGTTATTTGGCTGCAGGAGTGTTGGCAAACGAATAAAAAGTGCATTGTTGTGGGTGGTGACAACTGCAATTGTGTGTGCACTTGTGCTTGGCATTCTATACGGTTAGTGTTTTATTTTCTATTTCTTTTCAATCAAGAAGTTGTTGAATACAGCGGAATTTGAGCTGAATACTTTCTTTTAAGGGGTAGAAGTGCACTCGTATATATACTTGAAAATGTGCGCAAGGTGTCATTTGGAAGGCCAACTGTATTGATCAATTCTTTTGCTTCTAGAAGAGCATGGGAATTACATCATTTAGAAATATATCTGCTTTTGCAGTCTTTGTGCTTTTGGGATAGCAATTTACCCGTTTTGAGAAGTAATTTTAAGGTGCTTTTTCTTGTGCTTATTAGAAGATCTGGGCTAGATGGTTTTGGTTTGACATTGACAACGTTCAAATATATGATGTGGGCAGTCATACGATGACTGAGACCATATTGTGAACTAGTTAGAGTAAACTAAAGGTTCTGTATCTGTTGAAAATTTGTCTGTTAATCTTCCAGTTTGCCTGCAATACTTGTCTAAGTGGTTTTGCCCCTTCTTTTGGTATGTCAGGTCTGGTTGGAAAGGTGGATTTCACTGTAATGCACCTTTCGTCATCCACCACTAACTTCCCAAGTTCTTGGGTCTTCACTAGCAATCAGCAATGTATAGGTGGAAGTGGTACACATGCGGTTAGTGGTTGATTTGTTCCTTTGTTACGAGATATATCTTTGCTGTATTCTTTCAGTATGTTGTGATCCATCCTTTACTAAGCATTTCAATAAGCTCATTCTGTATCTTTCATGTTATTTTTCTTTTGTTATAGTGCTCTGCATATTTGGCAAGTACTTCATCAGAAAAAACATGGACCATGCGCACCACTTTTCCAGAATATGTTGTTGCTCTCGCTACAATTGTTGGATCAGTCCTCTTTGCGGTATGATAATGGTTGCTAATATTAAGTGTCTGTATCTGGTTAGAATCTTACACTTGCAATTGTAGTTACTAACATTTCATTCTTTTCCCCTTTATTAACGTATATTGATTATCCCTTTTCCTGAAATGTCTTGTCAGATATTTGGTGGTGTTGGCATCGCCTGTCTGCCACTAGGTCTTATCTTTTCATTCATTCGGCGTCCAAAGGCTGTTATCACTCGATCGCAATATATAAAGGTGCTTCTTGATTGTTTACTGCACAGGAAAATGAAATTACATTATGAGATATCATAAAATGGTTGTTATTGTTTGTATGTTTTATTCTAAATGCTTATGGTTGTTATTGATATTTATAGGAAGCAACTGAACTTGGTAAAAAAGCTAAAGAATTGAAGAAAGCGGCCGATGCTCTCCATCAGGAAGAAAGAAGTGGTTCTAAAGGTAGAAAGTGGCGGAAAAATGTTAAAGCAGTAGAAAAGGTATACTTGAAGTCCTTATTTATCTTTTTCCTTGCCATATGTTGGCTAATTATTGCAAACCCAGGCTCCAATGCAGTCTTGAGTTGAAGTTATTATTCTGTTTTTGCTTTGGGAGTTAAAAGATGCAGTTCTCTAGATGATGACCCTTTTTTTTTTTTTTTTTCTGCATTTTATAGTTCATGCTGGTTTGACAATATTTTGATGACGTTTCAGTTTGTTGCCTGCCATAAATCGTTCCTGGAAATTGTTACATTCTTGTTGTAACTTTTCAGGAGTTGCTTCAGTTAGAAGAGGATGTGAAGCTTCTTGAAGAGATGTATCCTCAAGGAGAAAAGGTTACTCATAGTGATGCTGAACTTGTGTTCCATATTTGGTATGGTTGTTCCCCTCTTTCATAATTAACTTCCTTGCTCTGATTTTTCAGGCTGAAACTGCCTGGGCTTTGACTGTCCTTGGATACTTGGCTAAACTTGTTTTGGGAATCCTAGGGTGAGTGCTAAAATTGTATCTTTAAATATTAGCTTTTGAATTACCACAAAACATATGAAAGGTGGTCGTTTGTGCAAACAAACTATCCAAAAGGAGCAAATTAGAAAGTGCTAATCCTGCACAGACATAACGAAACCATGGCTATCCGTGATGTAGAGATATCATGATGCCACAAAGAATCATGCCATTTGATGGCAGGAAGTTGGATTGCAGTTAGATGAGTACCAACTTGCATTTGGTGTTTCTGTAACTCTTCTCTGGTTTTTTCATTAGGTTGATTGTTTCAGTGGCTTGGGTTGCTCATATCATCATTTACCTGTTAATTGAGCCACCACTTCATCCTTTCTTGAATGAGGTTTTCATCAAGCTGGATGATGTATGGGGTAATTCCCAACACTCTTCCCTTTCTTAATCTTTACTTTTTCTTAGCCCCGTTTAAATCTTACTGGAGATGTATGTTTGGTACTTTTTCAGGTCTTCTTGGTACTGCCGCATTTGCCTTCTTCTGCATCTACCTACTGCTTGCAGTGATTGCTGGGGCAATGATGCTTGGTCTAAGACTAATTTTCATCACAATTCACCCAATGAAGTAATGAAATTCATGTGGATGGCATATTGTTTAATTTTTTAATTTAGAAAATTAATTTGGGGCTTACATTTGTTGAGTTTGTTTGCAGGTGGGGAGCCACTCTAATGAACTCTTTTCTTTTCAATGTGGGGCTTATTCTTTTGTGCTCAATCAGGTTTGTCACTTCACCAGCTCATTCATCTGAATTCTGAATCATCTCTTTCCAAGATTATCTATAGATGTCTGCCGACATACAGTACGCTGTTTAGCATATGGTCATATTTTTCTTCGTCCTGATTGACTTATGCTAAGGTGGAATTATTAGATAAATTATGATGACTACACAATCTTTCCACCTATTTCTTAAAAGATTTTCCAATGGTATTTGATGGGAAAATTGTCTTTGCAATTTCAGTGTAATACAATTCTGCTCCACAGCATTTGGATATTATGCTCAAGCAACTGCCGCACAGGAAATATTTGGCCACACATTGCAGTCTCTACGTGGAATTAAATATCTATACAAGTGAGTGAGCTTTGAATCATCAACATTGTTTTTTTTAGGCATGTGTTTCCTCTACCAATCTTACTTGATACCTTGGTCATGTTACAGGTATAATGTGTTTCAAATTGCATTTGTTGTTCTAGCGGGATTGACCTTTATATATTATGCTGCCTTTGTAAGTTTCTGGTCCTCTCTTACTATTTTTCCTTACATTACTCTTCTGTATGTTTGCCTCTATTTATTTATTTATTTGTCAGTGTTTGCCTCTGTTTATCTCTTGCGTGAATTATTTAAATACCTGGCTTTGCATTCAGGGATGGAGAAGAAAAAAACCAAGTGGCAAGTTCCAACTTTCCACTTAAAGAATGCTTTCCCATGAAGAGCATGCATCTCCTCGAGCTGTCAAAATTCTCAGTTTCATCATCTCTTTTGAGTGTGTTTTTCCATGGTCAGATGGGGATGGCCTAGTTTCACCATAATGTTGAAGATTTAGAGAAGGTGGCTAATATCATCCGAGTGTCAAATTGGGTTGCCTGCAGTAGCAGCATGTTGAGTGCTGCTACTGCCTCTTTTTTAATGCTTGTTTTTCTGGCCTTCTGTATGTATTTATATGCTTTTTTTAGTTAATGTTAACACTTGGTTGAGCATGTAATTGAGGTATCTTCTTACAACGGGAACAATGTTTCTAGAACGATTGTGTAATATAACCCTTTTGAGAGCAAAAATATTATTGACACTGCTATGCATTGCCAAGCCCTCCAATTTTGTTGAGCCAACAACACAAACGATCACCAGTTGAGTAAAAGATTTTCCTTACCATCTCCCTTACTCTCAGGGTAACCAAACAACTAATAGGGTACAATCTAGTTCCAGTTATCTGTGTTGTTGGAAGACAAGTATTCTTTCTCTTGTTTTCTCTCTCTCTCCTAGGGCGTGTTCTGCAAGTAGTTTCAGGGAGAAATCGTTGCTCATAGAAACCTCTGAGCTGTGATTATCTGTAATTTGAAATGACATTCTTGTATTTTGACAAACAATTTTCATTTATAATAGATAAGTAAACTCAGTTACATATTCAGGAACAAAAAAAAAAAAAGAACAATCAAAACAAAAGGCCCTCCAAGTCCCAGCTCTTACTAGAATGTGATCAAGGGCTCTTAATCCACTCAACAATTCAAGAATCAATTTGTTTTTGTAAGACTATTCCCATTGAGAATATCTTTGAATATCAAGGTCAGAAATGCTTATTTGCTTTCCATCATCACCTACTGACAGAAAAGCTGATTCCTCCTCCGCAAACTCGGATGCCAATGACCTCCAATATAAACTTGGTTCCCACTCTGCTTCTCTGATAGCTCTCAGGACTTCCTTCACAACTATTTTGCTCCCCTCCGATGCAAGATGGATGCCATCCCTACATAAGAATCATAAGTCAAGCACGCCTTAACTAGCACACATCTTTATAAAAGTGCTGTTTGAATATAACTTTTTTAAAGGTACTAAATCGTGTTTGTTTGGCTAAGTTTCAGCTTGTACAGTAGAGAAGATGATTTAGTCACAAGGCTGAACTAGGTTTTGTGTTGAAGCTTGAAACTCGAAAGTAGAACTTACGTGAAGCAGGTTGTCATCCAATCTTCTTTTTGTTGGATGGCAGTCCAAATATTAATACCCTTCACATCCATTTCCTTGCATACTTCCATACAAGCTTCCGCATAAATCCTGCAGGACTCATTAGTTCGACCTTCAACACCAATGAGTTGAGCTTGGCGTATTTGTTCCTCATTGATTGGAGGACAAGTAAGAAAGATTATTCGTATATTCTCCGAAAGACTCTGAGAATCAAACAGCAAAACTTCACCATAAACCGACTCAACAGCAAGGAAATTCGTTGTTTGTACAAATATCAGACTCAGACAACATGCAGTTCGATAAATTACCTTCAGATGGGTAGCAATCTTCTTCATGTTGTCAATATATTCAGGAAGAGGTACATGAGGGCCAAGAGCAGCTGAGTCAGGTTTCATTGAATCATTGCCACCGAAATAAACAATGACCAAAGAAGGTTGGACAGCAGCATTCTTATCAAAATAAGGAAAAAGTATAAGCATACATGCCATAAAATAGAGGGCCTTCAATGGATGAATCAAATACATCGCATAACAATCCGCAAGAAACATATGTTTTACCTTTGGGAAGACTTGGTTTAGGATCTGTAAGGCACGCCTTGAATTCCAACCCGCATATCCTCTCAACACTATGTCTGCCTATGTCCAATTGAAAACAAAGTTTAATTAGTTCTAATCCCATGAGACAAATGAACACATAATTGTCCAGCTTACATGTTCTGTTTAAGCTGATGAAATCAGACGAAGGAATCATTCTTAAATTAACAACTTTTCTTTCTCTAAATAATGAATAAGAATAGGTCCAGAACATGATAGATCAGATTATGGCATAAATATAAAACCAGTGATCGGGTTTCGCTATGTGAAATAGGATATGTCTCCAACATCTAAAGATGTCAATACTCTACAGATAATCTAGACAAAACATGGACTATGTCGAATGGGAATACACAGCCCCTTGCAGTCAGAACCCTTACACGATGGTTTATATTGTCTAGTTTAATTTAATCTAAAGTCGATAACACTTTTTTTCTTTTTCTTAAGGTAGGCATTAGGTAATTTACTCTGACTTTTTTGATTGCTACAAATTTTTAACAACTATTTTTATTATCAATACCATGATAAAAACAGTTTTTTGGTAAATAATTAGCGTCAAAATTTAATTGGTTATAATAATTTTTTCTTTCCTTCCTTCTTTTTTAAAAGAAAAAAAATTGTAAGTATCGTGGCAGCATGGCAATAGACTCCTCTTGCCATTTTTATGCCAAGATAGAATGATAATTACTATTACCACTAAAAATTGGTCTGCATACCATTGGTTTATCTCATTACACTATAATGTGATTATTATGGCGTTGTTAGGCATGAAAGTACTTACCCCAACATTATTCATACAGTTAATGGGTGTTCTTGAAATAAGAGGATAGTTGTTTGGACAACATAGATTTTGAGGAAAAAAACTCTATGCAGAACGGTATTTACTGTTATACCAAACCAAGCAATGAAGATAGAAGAAGAAATGAAAAAAGGCGATCAAGTAATTTTTACCTTACGGGCGTAGATGTCAGCAAGAATCGCAGCCCAACCTTGGTTGGAATAACTGAATTGGACAATGGAGGAACCGAACAGCACGAACAAAGGTCTCGACGGTCCAACCATTCTTCTCTGTTTCCTTCTCCAGTACTCAATCTGGTATGTTTTTCTCCTTTGTTTCTGTCTTTATTTCTGGATGGTTTGAGGAGATGGGGAGGGGAAAAGCTGATTCGTAGGATACGGGATGTGTTTGAATATTTGATTTTGATATGAATGATTGCCCACTTAATAAGGAAGCAGTGGTCCTATTGGTTTTTGTTTTCTTTTGTTTTTTTTCTTTTGGTGGTAGTGGTCCTATTGTTTTTCTTCCCGTCTTCTGTTTCTCCACGCGCAATTGGGGCGTGATTAGAGGTTTCATACAAACATCATAAAACAGGATAGGTAAATTGATCGAATAAAATAACATGTAATAAAAAGAAACTACATACCCACCACTGTAGTTGCATTGGTAGGATGCATTTTAGTCATGCATACTACTATGGTTTAATTTCTGGTA